TATGATGTTTATTGTTTATGTGTATGTGTTTATACAGTATACAAAGTATTTATATTTTCAAATATTAATCCATTCCATATTATTATAAGTATGTCAATACTAAAACTGTTTTTGTTTTAACATGGATCAATATGTACTGGTAAGCTTTTTGTTTAATTCATGACATATAGGCTGTTAAATATTACAACCAATTGTGTGTTTTGTCTGTTTACAATAAGATTGTTTGTTATTGAATTAAATTCGCTCGCTTTTTCTATGCTTTTCATGTCATGCCAACGTTTGGAACCAATACTTGCTTAACACTGAGTGTTAAGTTTTTCAATTTTTATAATTTGTGAGGTATTGATAATAATCTGATTCAGTTTTCAATGTTATAGGACGCTTTTTTGTATACCTCAGATTGTGGAGAAGATGGATATTTATACAACAGTAGCAGTAGTGACAGTGAAGATGACGAGGTTGAATGTACCTGTGGTGCAGAAACCGAACCGCCACCTGGTAAGAAGCAGAAATTGAGTGGATCTGGCAAAATAGAAGCATCAATAGAGCTAAAGCCTAAAAATAAGAAAATGCTGTATGGATTACCTGAAAGTGATGTGCCAACAGAACCAGAATCTGAGAAGAAACCAAAGGTATATGAATTTGTTGAAATGGATGTACCAACTGAGAGGAAGCAGGATGGATTTGTTGAAATAGAGGTGCCCATTTTAAATGAGTACGATTTTAAGAATAGTTTCAGGGTGAACAGGACAACATATGCGAAGGTTCTAGGTCAGTTTATTTATTACATTTAGCATACAATACAGTTCAAATACAAACAAGACCCCAGATTAAAACTGTTTATTAAACGAAGAATACTAAAATAAATGCTGTCTTTGAATTATTTCAATACTGAAAAATCATACATTCTTTTTTAGAAATGCTTTATCCCAGCTTTAACACTGACCACAAGGGAGGAAGGGAGAGGATATGTGCAGAAAAAGCAGCCTATATATTTCTCTGGTATTTAGGCAACAATGAAACATTTAAGCAAATAGCAGACAGATTTAAGAATAATACAAGTACTCTGCATGGAATCGTTAAGACAGGTACTATAGCAAATTAATATCCTTAGCCATTAAAGATTTCATTTATACCTCAGTATATATAGCTAATATGGTGTCTCTAATTGCAGCCATCAGTGCCTTATCTCAGAAATTAAGTGCACAAATAATATGGCCATCTGATGCTGAATATTCGAATATTTCACATTTGTTTCAAGAAGTTGGCAGCTTGGAAGGTTGCTTAGGAGTATTGGGAATCTCATACATCAGAATTAGATCATTTAAAAAGAAAAATAATGAAATTTATGAGAACGAACACTACTATCAAAGCTTAATATTACAAGGTAAGATACATTTTTAAGTTGAAATTTGTTTAAGTTCTACCTGTCTTTATGTACTGTAAAGTTATTTTTTTATCTTAAAATATTCAAAAACTAAGAGCAATTATGACAATTTAGATGTTTATAAGGAGGTACTTAAATAAGTATACAATAAATATTTATTAAAGCAAGACCTTTGTGCGTTGAGGCATGTTGGCTACTTCTTTCACAATAAAAATTAACCCATAAATAACAGATATCTAAAAATGATCTATATGGGAATAGTTGAATATATCAGATCATTTTGTTGCGGTAGCAGTAATCAAACAAAAAATACCCAAGGCAGAGGTTGTAACATAAAAAAATATGAAAGAGGTAGTTAAATGAAAAAAAAGGAAGATAATACAATAGAAAGATCGAGTTTGACCCAGAATGCAAATCAGAAAATACTAAAAAAAAATTAATGCAAAAAGACGAAAAATTATCGAAAGATGTGTTTATATAGAACCAAAGTTTTTGGAGAGATGCAAACAGCATTTTGACGAAATGGTAGTATAATAACAGAAGAAAAAGATTATGAAAGTTCCAAACCTTCGCAAAATTTACCAGCTGTCAATAACATCAGTCAAAATCAACAAAGGTTCTTGTTGTCTTTGGTAATTTTGGCCTAAAACCTACAGCAATCACTTCAATTTACAATATTTGTTCAACATCTAATTACATTAATGATTTTTTGTAGGTGTAGTAACTGTAAATGGTAAATTCTTAGATATATTCATAGGAGAAGGTTCTAACAAACCAGAACAGCTTTTACAAAAATCCCAGCTGTTTATTGAAGCTGAAAATAATTTACTTGGTGATTATTACCTTCTGGGTGAGTACAGTTTGTTTTCTATTTTGTTTTATCATTTTTATTATTACATTACATTAAAACTTTACTTAAAAGTGTTTTTTGAGAGTGATCCTAATCAATTAAAATATGTTTTGTAAATCAGGTGTCTATATATACTGTATAATCCTACTGAGACTCTGATCTGCGCCAACTTAAGAAACGATAAGGACAGTAATTTACACACTGTTGCCAAATCAATCAGTATATTATAGTTTTCCATTCATGACATTAATGTAGTAAAATTAATATTTTAAATTTATTGTTTGTATATATGTACATCATTCCATATGTTCACAATTTCGCTTCTTCCAGGTTTCAAGGACTATTCAAACCGAAAATGGCTAGTTAAACCGTACAAAGACAACGGTTGCCTCACAATGGAGCAAACAGTCTTCAACATGTGTCACCAGACAGTCGTGAACACGTTCACCGAGTCTATAGGCTTTCTCAAAGGAAGATTCCAGCGGCTGCAAAACTTGGAAAACCGAGTGACAGGACTGGCGGTGCAGAGTATCGAAGCGGCGTGCATGATTCACAACTTAGCGATCGACTGTGAAGATGACCACGAAGATTTTTATTTTCTTGATGGTCCAGATGCGGAGGTGATAGAGGATAGTTTCCCACAAGATGATGGTAACTGCGAGAGAAGAGAGAAAGCACTTAAAGATCTAATAACAAACAGTTCTGAATAGGAAGTGTGATAAAATCGTTTCTGCATTTTTTAAATTGATAACTAAAATAAAATAATAAAAATCAAAAGTTCATTAGTTTTTTTACTCAGTGTCATCTAATTCCATATTTTATTAGTATTTATCTTCTTGCATGTGCCAACAATGTCAAAGCGAGCAAGAGGGTTTAGTTGTACTATTAATTTCGAACCAAATAGACAATGCTAGGGTAAAAAAGCAATTGGCTACAACCATTTTGGATGCAAAAGGTAGACAAGGGGCATGCTGCTTCTCAGACCACCTTCTAGTTCAAGTACACTTCATATGTAGGATCGGCAGACAAGCCAAGGAAAATCAATCAAGAAACTCAAAAGAAATTTGAAGAAGATATAAAGGGGTAGCTGACTATATAAAGGAAATGAAGAGAGAATACTAAAAGGCCAGTGGAATTTAATAAGTAGAACTACATTAACTACAGCGAAATCAATGCTAGGAACTAAAGAAAGAAAAGATGACCAATGGTTTGATGATGAGTGTAAGGCGGCATTTAAATAACAAAATAAAGCACATAGATTATATTTAAAAAATTTATTAAAAATTCTTTGTAAAAGGTATATATTAAGAACCCAAACGGACTAAGTTAAACAGACAAAACGTTTTCGGAATCCATATTCCATCATCAGTGTCTAAGAGTACATGAATGTAGCCACTAAATATATGGGTAAAAACCTGTTAACAAATAATTGATTACATTTAGTTTACAAAATTTCTTATAATGACTTAAGATGTTAAAGTTACCGTTGGATTAGGTAACATGGCGACATATGACTCCACGTTGAAGTTGCTAGTCTTGAGACAGTGTGTCTACGAAGACTGTATGGGAGCAACTGTTGCAAAGCAACTTTCTTAGTTATGTAAAGGCTTAATATCTCAATCACATGGTTTTCATAGAACAAAATCTACTACAAACCAACTTGGTTTGATATCAGTCTGATACATTATCTCATATGGAAGACTGTAAACAGGTAGATGCAATATTCAGATTTTTTTAAAGCAGTTGATCGTGTAGATCACCAAATACTTTTGTACAAATTAATTAATGTAGGCTTTCATGTCAGGTTTGTTGAATGGATTAAAAACTCTACATCTGCGAGAAGTCAGGATAGGTTGTCATCTGACAGTTTCTCAGTAACATCTTGAGTTCCTCAAGAAGGCCACACTTCTTTACTTCTTTTTAATATCTTTGTCAACATCACTTTTCTAAATAGCAAATGTCTAATGTTGGCAATAAATACGAAATATAGTGTTTTCATTTTGCAGAAAATTTAGCATTTCTATTAAACACTTGGTAACTTCACAGTAACTTTATGCCAGAGGTTTCAATCTTCTGGATACTCCTCAAATATTAAATATGAAAAGCTTTTTACTCTAGGTATCAAAAATGAAAATGTCACCGAACCTGAAAAATAATACAAATAAGCTGAATTTTGCTGAGAATGTCAATGTAGACAAAGATGAAAAAAAAAAGTTTACCACTCCTACACCCCCACCCTCAGGCATTCTAATGAAGCTAACATAATTTTGAACAAAAATTTTTATGTGTAAAAAAACTGTCCTGTGAGAAACAAAGCTTGAATGGATCAGTGATTAATTAAGGTTTAGTTAGTGATAAACTTTTTTGCAGTCAAGTCTCATTTTTAGAAATCAAATCTTTGACAAATGGACTTTATTTCCTTGGTATCATTTCAACAGTAGAACTGTTATAAAATTCTTTTTGACTGACAAATCTTGATGATCTTGGATATATGCCTAATTCTCGACTTGCTTGTATAGTGCTGTTAACAATGTCCTTATAAGTTTTCATTTGTTTTTTCTTTATGGTAGGTTTTATATGCAGATAATTGCATTTCAAATGTCTTCTGCATAATACAGTTGATAAATGTCAATATCATCTACACATAATGTAGATTTTCACAAAAATAAAATCTTTCTGTCACAACAGTCTTGACAGATGGAGTAAGCATTTTCACTTTACTGGTAGTCTGTTTTATAGGAGATTAAAAACAAAAAAGTAATAATTTGGAAATAATTTTATAATTATATATGAAAGGAAACTGAAGTAATATAAATAAAACAAATCATAACTTAAAAAATATATATTAGGTACAAAACAAGGTTGATCTTACAACTAAGGACTCTAGTCGAATAGAGCAAAGCCCATGTCATCGTCTTCGGATTCAGATTCAACCTTCTTTTCTTCCTTCTTGGCCTCTGAAAATTTAATAAAAGACACATTAATACCCATTTCTATATTACATACAAGTTTTATTTTATATAGGAGCATCAGTTGGGAATTATCATCAATGCTTTCAGGCGAAAGATGGTGTTGTGTGGTAATCATCATAATAAAAGATTAATAATTATTCTTAAAGGCCAAATAGTACTGTTATCAAATGAAGTTTGCCCCCAATTCTCAGATAAAATAAAATAAAAAAACAAGTTGCACATATTACATGTAAAATTACCTGTACAAACTTCAGTATTAACAAGAAATTTTCTTAATAGTTATACAAAATAGACCTAAGGGTAAATATTTTCATTAAAAACATACTTGCTGAAAATCACAAGAATTTTTCTGGACTTGACCTGAATAGGCAAAATAGGCCAAATTTTAATGATGTTATAATGAAAGTTACAAAAAGAAACAGAAAAAATAATTTATATGGCTTGAAACTGATGGAGGACAAATTTTGAAATTTTTATGAAAATATTCCATTTTTTAATTGGGATAAACTTGATAAAGTTGATAAACAACCAACACAGTATCCACATAAGTAGAAAATTTTATTTTTATGAGCTCTGTAAATAAGAGAAAATCAATTTTAACAAATTGTTAGATTAGAATATATTCAACCCTATTACTGAAAATAACGTGCAATCATGCATAAATTCACAGTTTGTAATGAAATTAATGTCATTTGTAACATTACTTCTGAAAAAAGTTCTTTAGATTGATTTTATTTAGGTAAAAAATAAGAATATGATTATTTGTATCTGGTATCCAAATATCTCAAAAACAGCTGAATTGAATAAAATAGTGGACAGTGTTTGAAAGAAAATAGAAGATAAAAAACTTAGAAGCAGTCCTAAAGTTTTCAAAACATCTACAGCCAAAAACAAAACTACAATCAATATTTATCTCAAATACCAAAAACAAGAACAAAATAGAGAATCCCAACAATACATAATCTTAACATTATACAAACCTTTCTTTTCTTCTGCAGCTGGAGCAGCAGCAGGGGCACCTCCGGCAGCAGTTGTGGCACCACCACCAACTGGCATGGAGCTCAGTTTTTCACGGCCTAGAACAAAGAAAGATTTTTAAAACATACACACTAAGTGAATCTATACTACAGTTATGTTACTATTTTTCAGATAAAAGTAAAAAATCACAACTTCTCATACGAAAGATGGTTGATTGTTAAATCATCATGATAAATTGAATTAAAATAGTTACTAGTATCAAGAAAACATTCTATTCTATTTAAAGATCGCAGGAAGTCTGTATTGACTCTATTTTTTAAGAACATATATAAGGGACAGGAAAAACATACTACTCCACAAAGACATGCATTAGATTGGCATGTATTCTACAGTAATATAATGAATTTTATTTCCCAGGTTCTTAATTATGAGTTTTATATTAGTTTCAAATTATCTACTTAAAAAACAAGAGTTTATTTCTCTACTTTTATTTTATTTCCTCTAATTAAACATATATAATACTTTAAAACACAAATTTATTTATAAATTGGTAAACCCAAAGAAGTATTTGGCGTTATTCCACTTGGCTCTTAATACTTAAAAACACATGTTTACAAATTCTAGTCCATATTTTATAGGATTTTAAATACCGACTTATTAGCTTACCTTGAGCAATGAGTTCTTCAACAGACTTGCCACTGAGCTCGCTGATGACTTTCTTTACTTTTTCTCCTTCAGCTTCAACACCTACAGACCCTAAAATTTTTTCAAGATCTGCAGCATTGGGAGAGGCTTTTCCGCCCAAAACGGCCAATAAGTAAGCAGCCACGTAACGCATCTAGAACAAATAATTAAAAAATGTATTGTGTACATTAAAATGTATTGCAAACGAATTGAGGTTATATGAGTAAAAAGAATATCTATTAAAATATCATCAATCCTCGGAAACTTGGAAAGAATTTATATTTTAAATGATAAAGACAATTTTAAATGGTAGAAATGTAATAATATTTTAAGCAATATCTATATTTTACTTACTTTTAAGTCTTGAGACACGAAACGTGTATGCCGACAAAAAATTAAAATATCAAGAAGGAACGAAGGAAGGAAGATCAAGTGAAATGAAAATCAACTCAAATTATTGACATTGACAGATGACATTGGCTGATTGTCATTTTTGCAAACTCTGGGAGTGTATAATGTTGCAATACTCCGACTTTCTATACAATCAAAAATATCAAAGGAATTCAGGAATTGTAATTTTTTTAAGTGTAAATTAATCTTTTATTATTTCTTTCCGCTTTTAAAAAGTTCGTATAAAACTAAGTAAGTTTATAAGTTTTAGTTATAGGACATTAAATATTCTGCAGTTAAGAAAAAAAGAAAGACGAATTGCAAGTTGCATGATTGAAAATGTTTATTTGTATTACTGCACCAACGCTAGATTTGATCATAGACAAAAAACCATGGTTTGGTCTATGGATTTGATACTGATCGATGGAGAAATCAATCATGAGTCCTAAATATTTCAAATTTATTTAAAAATAATTTAGAGGGAACGATATTAATAGGTTGAATATACATTCCCGAAATTATTTATAATAATAATTTATGCCTTTATGATTCCTTTCTATTTTTATTTTTTTTTTTATTCATAATTACTAAATAATTTTTATATATTATTTACTTCCTCATTTACGGAAGGATCAACAATTTAGTAATTTGGTTGACAGCATAATATATTGTGGACACGGCTTTATCGACTAAACTAAATTAAAGTGACAGAAGAAGGAAAACATTGTTAAAACGTCAAAGAAAAGTGGAAAGACTTGTAAGTTATTAAATTTTATGAAAATTCTTTTTAAATTGCTTGTTATCACATTTTCAAGAATCGAAATTAGAATAAATTGTTAATAAAATCATATGACGATTACATAACCTTGAATTTGTTGAAACTTAAAAACAATTTTGATATTAAGAAGGTTATAACTGGAATAGGTACAGATATTTCGGTCAAGATCATTAGTAATTATAATGCACAGAGAAGATCGAACCAATTTTTAACTTTAATTGAACTAAGTGCGTATTTCTTTATTTTTAGATTTTTATTTTTGTCTGGATTTTGGATTGTTGTCAAACTGTGACATCAGCAAAATTGGTTGGTTAATGTTAGTAGAAGTAGTAAAATGTCTCTAAAACCAAGAAGAGTAGATTTTAACGCCACTTGGGGCGCTATCAGAGAAACCATCAATGGTGTGATTACTCTAAATCACGTAGCAAGACCTGTCTGGAATGATAGATTTTCGTAAGTTATGGTTTGTTTAGATTTGTTTAATTCACAAAGAAGTACATGTGCCATGACATTGTAGTTTTCAGATAGTGTTTACGCTTTGCTGCATCATTAAAAAATAATAAACATAAATTGATAGTAACTATACAAATAAACAAATATTTTAAAAGTTTTCTCAATTTTTTTATTTTTATGATGTATTGTTAATTTTAGTGATGTTTATTCAATATGTGTGGCACATCCAGAGCCTATGGCTGATAGGCTGTATGCAGAAACTAAACAATATCTCATAGATCATGTTGCAAAACTTTTGAACAAGGTTCAAGAAGAAGGCGAACAAAACTTAATTAAAAACTATTTCCTGTATTGGTCTCAGTACTCTGTAGGTAGCCAATATTTGCACAGTTTATACCTATATCTAAACCAACAACATATTAAAACACAAAAGCTATCAGATGCTGAAATCATTTATGGAAGTCCAGACTCTACTGGAGGTAAGTTGGAAAAATATGTAAACCATTAATTTTAGTTGATACATAGGTGAAATAATATCTAGAGACAAATTTAATAAATAATATAATTTATGTTTTAGGCGAGCAAATGGAAATTGGTGAATTGGCATTGGAAATATGGCAAAGTGGAATGATTGCCCCATTGGGCTTAAGGTTGGTGAAGCTTTTATTGGAGGCTATAGATCAAGATCGAGCAAAGCAGACATTGACTGTACCAATCGAAGCTGTGAAAGGAACAATTTTGAGTTTTGTTGAGGTATTATCAATATCTATCAATAAGTTGAGAAAATTTTATATGTAGATGTTCAAAAATGTACTTACAACCTTCTAAAATGCTACAGTGGGCATCAAATTTTTATATTCACCAAATAAGATGTATATACTTTTATAAAAGACATCTTATTCTTTTGCAGGTTCAAGGTTATAGAAAAAAAGCCCCACTACAGTTGTATCAAGAATTATTTGAAGAAGAATTTCTTGATGCTAGTGGAGAACACTTCAAAAGGGATGCTGCCAGGCTTTTACAGGAAAAAGATGTTAGTTTATATATGGAGAAGGTTAAGGATAAGATTGAAGAAGAGTTGTTCAGGGCCAGAAGATTTTTACATTACAGTTCCTTTGCTAAAGTAAGTCATGTTTTTTGTTTATATATCCCCCCATTATTATTTTGGTTTTCCTTAAACTACTCCTTATTGTCTTTGTACTATTTTGTTAATAAAAATGATGTAGATTTTTTTATAGAAACACTTACTAACAGTTTTATTTCAACTAGGATATTCTTGCTGATGAACATGAGATTATGATTGTATTGGGTGTCACACTAATCATGACATACAATTGAGTTCCATCTTTCAATGATTATTGGTCACAAAATGATTATTTAGGAAATTAAGCAATAAATGGACAATTTCTCGAGACCGCTGTAAACTGTTGTTTGCCAAAATGTATTGCGCTGATATGGTAAAGCCTGACAATGCGAGAAAATCATATTACATCGAGGATGTCGTTAATTGTCTAAAACTAACATTACCAAAATATCGAACAAAGGCAGCTTTTCAAAGCATTGATGAGTCAATGGCCAAATTTAAAGGAAGGTCTTCCCTAAAACAGTTCCTACCCATGAAACCCATCAAACAGGGAATAAAGATATGGGTATGAGGCGACTCTGCGATATGTCTACAATTTTAAAATTTACGAGGGAAAGAAAATAGGAAATAATACTAGTTTATAATTGGGAGAAAGAGTAGTGACCAAATTAGTTAGTACTATAAGGGGACAACTTGATAATCTATCTTATCCAGCAATAGAAACAATAATTACAAACAGAGTAAATGTACCTAAATTTTTTGGGAAGTTGATTCGTGGTGACTCAGAATTCAGAGTAAATAACCACAGTACCATAGTTTGCAGATGGCAAGATACTGAAGACTGGTTAGGTTAGGTTAGGCAGTAGCAGTAAGCAATTGCTTTGGAGATCAGCAAGTAGAAGTGAAACAGTAGAAAGTAGAACAGATTATATTTTGGGCTTGTATGACTTTGATAGGAATTCTACCAAATGGCAGAAGAAAGTATTTTTTTGCTTTCTGTAGGATATTTCTTTCTTTAATTGCATTTTGATGATAAAATTGTCTTTCTTTAGGTATCACATAGATGTGAAACTCATATGGTGGCTGAACATCTACAATTTTTGTACAGCGAGTGTCTAAATATGGTACAACAAGAAAGGAAGAAAGATTTGTCAAACATGTATGACTTATTGAAAAGTGTACAGAATGCTATGGTTGTATTGGTAGAAACTGTATTAGATCACATAAAAACTCAAGGATTAGCGGTTGGTATACTTTATTTTTATACTGATTTGTTATTTTATTAAATGTGTCCTATTTTCTGAATCACTTTTGCTTCAAAGTAAAATTTCTATAGATGTCTGTAAAGTGTTGGTTAATTGGCACACGATCATCACAAACCTACTGATTTTTATTTAATTTTAAGAAAATACCAAGATCTTTGAAAAGAAATTGGACAATTTTAAAATTTTAGTCCAATTAAATCATCACATAATCATCTAAACAGTAACCTAAAATTACCCAAACACTAAGGAAATCGCACTTAGTAACTTACAGAAATGCAAAAACTAACTAAAAAATCAATTCCAAATATTCTTTTAGGCTTTCAGCAGCTTTTAAGGAGTTTATACACTTTAATCCTATAGTATTTGATATTTTTTGTGTTTTATACTTTGGGAATTACCTTCTTCATATTAAAGTTTAGTTACTAAGTACAAATATCTCAAAAATGCCAAGTTTAAATTGGACAAAATCATCAAAAAATTTCATTTTTATTTAAATTCAGGAAAAAACCCCGATTTTTGCAATTTTTCACCAATTAAAGCATAAAATATTTGTCAGTGACCTAAAATTTTCCACAATCTGTGGGAATTTAAAAATACCTAACTTAAAAAATCAATTCCAAATATTCTTATAAGCTCTTGGCAATACTTTCTTCATTTTAAAGTAAAATTTCCATAAATATCTATAAAATGCAATGAATTAAAAGTTTTAATTTAACAAAATTATCAAAAATTGACTGATTTTTATGTAAATTCAGCGAAAATATGATTTTTTTTTAAATAAATTTACCGCATTTCCAATTTTAGATCAATTAAAACTGAAATCAAAATGTAAAATAATCAATTCTTAATATTTTTAGGCTGTTGGTAACCTCCAAGGAGATAACATCCATATATCTTTTGTCGAAAACCTACTGACTGTATATAAAAAGTACAAAGAGCTAATACAGGATGTGTTTAAGTCAGATCAGAACTTCATGGGTGCTTTAGACAAAGCTTGTAATGCTGTGATAAATCACAGGCCTAATCAGGGAAGGTCACCTTGCAGAAGCCCCGAGCTTCTAGCTAAATATTGTGATACTTTGTTGAAGAAATCGAGCAAAGGGATTGGGGAAGCTGAGGTGAGTTATATCTTCATTTTCAATATCTTCTATTTCATGTTTTGGTAGCCCCATTTAGGGTCTCATGAACTGTGCTTTGAAAAATGAATTAAAAGTACTATTTTGGAGTTTTTGATAAAGGAAGAAAAGTAATGTTTTAGGGTAAATGTAAATTTATTTGGAGAATTTCATGTTTGAATAATATTACATTTTAGGTAGACGAAAAGTTGGCAGAAAGCATTATAATATTTAAATACATAGATGATAAGGATGTTTTTCAGAAATTCTATTCACGAATGCTGGCTAAAAGACTGATACACCAACAAACACAAAGCATGGACGCTGAAGAGTCTATGATCAATAGGCTGAAACAGGTATACTTTAAAGATATTAAAAATTAATGTTCTTCATTGATTTTGTTGTCTTTTAAGGCATGCGGCTATGAATTTACTAGCAAGCTTCACCGAATGTTCACTGATATGTCCGTCAGTTCTGACCTTAATAATAAATTCAACTCGATTTTAAAGGAAGATAATATCGATTTAGGTATCAACTTTAGTATCTATGTATTGCAAGCAGGAGCCTGGCCGTTAGGTCAAGCCATCGTTACTCCTTTCGCTTTACCTCAACAACTAGAAAAAAGCGTTCAAAAGGTAAGTGAAACCAAAGAAAATAAATATGTCTTTTTAAGAATCTTCTTGTTTATGGTTTAATTTTTTTGCAGTTCGAATCTTTCTATCACAATAAATTTAACGGCAGAAAACTGACCTGGCTCCATCATCTCTGCCAAGCAGAACTGAAATTGAACCATCTCAAGAAATCATACATGGTCACTGTTCAAACCTTCCAGATGGCCATGCTGCTTCTGTTTGAAAACACTAACGCTTTAACATGTAAGGATATTCGGGAGACCCTTCAGTTGAATAACGAGCAGTTCAATAGACATGTAGTAAGTCTCATAGACTCGAAATTGCTGTTAGCAGATTCAGAGGTTAGTATTATAACCTAATGTCTTATACAATATGTAGTTTCTTTATTAGAAACCAAAACAACAATTTGTGTACTTTTTTATTATCATAGCCAAAAATATGTGAAATTTCTACTGAATTATGCCACAAAAACAACTATTCCAAGCTATAGACTGCTTATAATATCGGTTTTTAGACAAGAATCCTTGTATTTTATAGATAATTTTGACTAACCTGTATCTCAGTTGCAAAATATTGATATTTTGTAGGAATTGACACCTGAAGTGACACTTTCATTAAATATGGATTATTCGAATAAAAGAACTAAATTTAGGATAACAGCTGCCGTACAGAAGGAAACACCTCATGAAGTAGAACAGACAATGAATTCTATAGAGGAAGACAGAAAAATGTACCTGCAGGCTGCCATCGTTAGAATAATGAAATCACGGAAGGTGCTTAAACACAATCTTCTCATCCAAGAGGTAAGTGTACAATATTTATTACTTTATTGATTCAGTTTTACAGTTTACATGATTGAAAATTGCAAAATCCTATAGATAACAGTGAACAAATTAGTTTCAAAGTGGATACAGATCAGAATAGAAAATATCATAGCATTAGAATCTGAAATACACGAAGCCTTTATACATAAACAAAAATTAATAGCAATTTTCTGAGACATAACAAAAGCATTCGACACCCCGTGGATATACCACATTTTAAAAACAATAAAAAACTGGAAAATAGATCTCAAATTTTCACACACACACATTTGGCACATTTTCTGTACCCTTTTGTATGGGGTTGAAGCTTGGACACTTGAAAAATCCAACATTAAAAACCTAGAAGCATTCGAAATGTGGTGTTACCGACGTATTTTGAAAATATCATGGATTGATCGCAAAACAAACGAACAAGTTCTCGAACAACTAGGAAAACAATGCGATGTTTTAAATTCCATAAAAATCAGAAAAATGGAATACTTGGGGCACATCATGAGAGGTGAAAAATTCAAACTACTTAGTAATATAATGCAGTATAGCAGAATATAACCATTTTTTACTTCCAGTAAAAGCAAATCTTTATGCAGATGATCTTGGAATATATATGAGGAGTAAAAACTTAAAATCAGCTGAATCCATATCACAAAACACATTAAGAGCGTAGGCGCAAAATTTCGGGCCAATGCTTTTTAAATGCATTCATTTTTTTCGAATCCTGAGAAAACTAATAAATATTTTTGAAAGACTTAAACGCAGAATGAAAAATTACATTATTACCGAGGGCCGAAAGTCCCTGAAAACTTCTATAATGTTTATTTTAATAAGTTACAGGGGTGAAATGGAGGAGAAAATTTAGTGTGATTTTTAATCTCAAATATCTCATTCAAAAATCTTTTTGTTTATTCTAAGGGACTTCGATCAGTTTAAATTGTGAAATTTAAGACAAGTAGCTAAAAGATTGTTTTTTTAAATTACCTAACCTCAAAAAGTGACATCACCAATGACAAGTGACAATTTACGTTTACCTAATAAAACATTCTTTTGTAGGTTTATGCTCAATCAAAAGTATCCTTCGCCCCTAGTGTACAGTTAATAAAGAAATGTATAGAATCGCTGATAGACAAACAATATATCGAAAGGACGCCCCAATCGAGCGAGGAATACAGTTATGTAGCATAAATAAATATAAAAAAAGCAAAAATTTATTTTTATTGTAGTATATAGACTGATGGACGCTACGAGCTGTTACCAAAGACAGATTTTTCTTTGATTTGTATTGTGTATGAAATTTTACGAAAATTATGTTTACAACTTTTGTTTAATTATGACGATTCTAATCAATTTAATTTTGAATTTTTTTATTCATAATAACTAGAGAACTAATGTCCCTTTTTTTGTTTTTTCTTTTTCTGTACTTTATAATTTCCTTTGTTTTTTCTTTTACACCTATTTTTATGTTGTTGAGGTTTTCTTTGTTTATCGTTCTGTTGGCATTTTTTTTTTTTGTCAATTTTATACCGTTCTTCTTTATATTCTTACTATTCACCATTATGTCAATAATTTAAATTTGTCTCCACCTCATAACTGAGAAGTACAGATCGACAGGAAAAATGATCGACTACTGAATTAGTCCGCAACAAAAAATCCAGAGGTCACTGGTTCATATCCGGCTTGAAGGACCACTTGTAGTGCGAACGATTCCGCAAATTAACATTAATAGACCACATAAAAAATTCTAAATCCTTGTTACTGCAAAAATATACCCGACACTCAATAATGAACTGCTTAAAAGGTCATTATAAGCGGAACTTTTCGATTATGTACATTCTCTTTACTTCTTTAGCGTATCGTTGACATTTTCTCGCTTTTTAAATATTTACTCTTGATTTTCTTGTCAAGGTTTTTCATTTTTTATATAAATCTTTTTATCTTATCGTATATACCCTCACACATTTTTACCAATAACTTACTATCATACAATATAAAACGGTTAATGTATTCTGTTAAAAAATCTTCGTCTTTCGTAATTGCGCAATGTGTTCCATCAATGTTCAGACTATGTACAGTACATAAAAATTTCTATCTGGAATTTCGACGTCTATTTCGCGAAAACTTGGCAACGCTGTAGCCCCGTATTTAGCAATTATCATTATTTTTGTTGTTTTTAATTAGATGCGATTAAAACGGTTAAAAATGAACATCTTCTATATGCTGTAACCAACAAACTTTCTTCATCAGTCTCTGCTGAATATAGAGCTCCCCAAATGCCTTTCTTTTGAAATACTTCTGTGAGTCGCATATGTTCTATATTATCTGAAACTTTTATTCTGCTTTTTATTTTATTTTGCTATATTAGCGGAAATAGGTGACCCTGTCTCGCAGATCTTCATAAGCTAATCAATTATCATCTACAAAGATTTATTAAAGTCATTTGTGTTGTTGTTAGCAAACATCTTATTTTCTCAATGAAAAGGATTTGAGCAATTGTTTATTTTAGCACACTAACTACCATTGTTTCATTTCTCAAGTAACTGTCATCATTCAAGGAAAAAGTACAATTAGAGGGTACTTTAAAGCAATTAAGAAATTCCGGCGTTGCCAAAATGTATATAAAATAACTAGATCTCAATAAATCGAGTATAATCCAGATAGAAACATTTAAGTATTGTGAATGACACATTTTAGTTTTAAATGAAATTGTCACGAATTTTTTTTGTCAACTATTTATTACATTCTCTTTAATTTATACCGAAATATTATGTAAAATACAGACTTAAGTTTACCGTAAGATTCTTTTGTTAGACTAACCAATGTGATACGAAGTTATTTCTTATTTGTTGTGTGTAATAAAATATTTTTTATTTTAATATCGATCGAGGAAATTCGCATCAAATGTTGTTTTTATTTCAAATGAAACCTGAATCTAATAAAAGACACCTGAATATTCTTTCCCTTAGGAGTAACCGGAGTTGCCTCGTTTTTGCATCAATCGATAAAACTTCTTTGAATTAACCTACATTTGATGTAGGTTAGTTCAATCCCGAATCCCAATTCAATTCAGATCCTTTTTGCAGCGATGTCTTCAATTGTTTTCTTCTATATCTTCCGCCGATGTTTTTTTTTAGCTTCTTGTGAGTAATCTTGGTATTCTTTTTAATACATTTGGTTTTCAAACTTTTTCTGTTCATTGTGCTATTTCTGTTTCAAATATTTTTGCCAGTGTGTTTTGTTCATCTTTGATTTTTCCATTTTCCAAGGATAAAAAATATGATATGGATTATGAACAAGAAAAAACAAAAACGGAAAAGATGAAGATAGTGAAAGGGGTAGAAGACCAAAAGACAAGTCTAGGTTAGAAGTCACAGAAGATATTCTCACAGATATCGAGAACATAAGAGATATGATGATAGGCATAGAAATAGAGACACGGAAAAGAGAAAACATCGAGATCCTAGTCATCATCATAGTTGTAGCCATCGCAGACATAAAAAATAAAATTCCGATATAGATAATTCTTCACTATAAATTTTGTGAAGGATATAATATGTATATTCTGTAAAATACAGGTTAGTACATATTATAGATTTGTTAATGAAGATGTGGACACTTCTGAATCATAAATTTCCGACAACACAATATCGGTCGGTAGATTAAACAGTTAAAAAAACACGTTTTTCGATCTTATTTTCTCGTTATAATCCAATTTGCCTCGCTATAGAGGGATATAGTTCAGTAGAAATTTCCCGAGACATCTAATGTACGTCGTTATGAGCGAAACTTCGTAATATCCGTATTATAGAGGAAGTATACTGTATATATTCTAAAACTTTCTTTTGTTTATGTTGCCTTTTTTATTTTCTCCTTTACATTCTTATCGATGTTATCGTGATTGCTTGATGTTTTTTTGTCTTTAAATTATTATTGTTGCTTTTATTTATTTTATGTTCTTGTTTACTTTATAGCAGTGTTTTTGTGTTCTACTTGTGCACTTTTCTGATGTCGCTTCTTGTCTACTGTTAATTAGTATCCCAGAATGCAGTAAGACTCATTCTTTTTCTATTTTCTGAAGTTTGATCAGTTTTGGGAATGAAGTTGTGACTACTTTAACCATTTCGATCTGGAATATGTCTTGACAGGTATATTATTCCAATTGAATACGACGTATCTATTCAAGGAAACCACTAAGTGATGCATTTGGATGTGAAGAGCATAAGAATCTATGACGCATCGGTGCGCTATAAAATTTGAAGCCGTAAGGACAGGGGAAATAACTACACTCTCGATTCTTTACATATATTTACTAATATATTCGCAAAATCTTAACATAAATAAGAATAATAATGGATAAAAAAACAATTTAGTTATTTATTAAACATTGAAGAATCACTTTCATATATTTCATATAATAATATAAGTTAAATAGTCACTTCATATACATATATCTATGTTTAAATAAAGGAATGATAAACGGACTAAAAAAAAGAAAACAAACAAAAGAACGCATTGAATAATTCTCTCGGAAAACAATAATTTCTTTAGATTATATACATTCTAAAGTAGGTGCTAGTACATAAAAATATATATACATTTTCCAACTGAAAAAGCAAACAAGTGTCCCGTCAAAACGAAGCCTAATGTCCGAAAATGATGCGAATGAATTAAAACTACAACAAACAGTTCAACAAGATTGATTGTATTTAACTAGAATTTGTTTAAGCATTTATAGATTGGGCTTAAATAATGTGCTACAGAAAATTTTTTCCTTCCATGTCTACCAACGGTCTTCGATGGCAATTGAAGCGTCAAAACGTCAATTGTCATGTCATGACACGTCAGCTGTCTTTTTTAAGGTTATAACCAGGTTTTGACCATAAGGAAACTGAATTGCCTATAATACCAGTTTAAATTAAATTACGAGGATATTTGGGACAATTTTCTAAAATAATTTCACGGAAATTATTCTAGCGGAAGAAATATCAAGTTTACGAAAGAAAATTAGAAGGTTTGGCAAGTAAAATTAGTTTATTTTCAATATCCAAGTTGAAAAATTGTTCTTTCTTCGCTAGAATTATTTGTTGCAAATAAATTTATCAAATCAAAAAGAAAATTAATACAAAAAGTTGGACTAAGGTGATATATGTAATAACAGAGCAAATTCAATATATTTTTAGTCAATAACTGATCCATATCAAAGTTGGAGAGGGTTATAACACTTGTGGAATCCACTTACATTCAAATACTAACAGAAAATGGTACAAATACTGTTTGAGCTACGAGCAAACTATTTTATAAATTTAAACTGCAACAAAAACAAGGTGTTCAGTTACAGACCTAAAAATGACACTAGATATATCTAGAACATTATAAAAGATTTAAGAGGACACGGATTTAAATATGACTCTATTTTGACAGCTGTAGATTTAAAATCCCCTAAATACCTAGATAGGAAAATAAAAAAGAAAGTGGATTGATCTAAATGAATTAGAATTGGGAACGAAAAAAGCCAGAACAGTATTATTTAATAATGACACTTCAATTGTCAGTTGTCACTCTATAGATACGACGCTATTTTGACAGCTGGTGAGTTAAAAATATCCAAATAACTGGTTAGAGTTTGCATAAAACAATAAAAGACCAATAGGACAAAAAAAAACAATATGTTGAATAATCGGTTAAAATTGAAGACAATATAATAAATAAAGTTATTGAAGAATAAAAAATTGTAGTATATAAATATCATCTGATACTTTATCACAGTTACTTGTCACTGCTATTTATAGATTGTCACACCCTTAGTTATGGTAACATTCTTTTATCTTTAAAGAACTTACAGTCTATAGTGGTTATCCTAGAAGTACACCGAATATTTCATTTACTTATTAATTTTTCACTAACAAATCTATTTACAACTTTTTTGAACAGCTTTTTCTAAAAATTCTAATAAGTTCGAACGTGTCATGTATATGTGGATGAATACCTACAAAGAAATTAAAACACAGTAGTTCAAATGCACGACTAAGTAGAGGTGGGACATAAGACAGTGAAATTTAAACACATATTACAAATATTTAGTGACATTAGAAGGAAATATTACTGTAATGACAACCAATAACACAATATTTCGTTAATTTAAGGTAAGCTGGATATAGCTAAGATCATAATAGCACACAACAGAACCTTTTGAACATCATTTATGAATAAATATATTCAATGGACGGAAAAAACAAAATATAATGATGGGACAACTACAAATGGATAATTTGTAATAAATTTATATCTTTATTTTCATAATGCCATACCATTTTGCAATAATCTTAACACAGTTTTTTTAGTAAATCATGAAACATTTATCTGATTTAAAAGATTAAATTTTCTGTAACACTTCAATAAACCCAATATTTGTTTTGCTATTTTTGAGAAATTCATCGAGCAGTTCACGTAAAATTATAAGTAATATTTCCAATCATTCAGTTATTTGTAATCTCAAAAAAAATATAACGTTTTTAATTAACCAAGTAATCAAACTCCTACTTGTAGATAATTTTAAAAGGAACTCCTCAATATATTCATCTTCTCTTTGAAAGTAATGTTGTTCATACACAAAACGAATTGTAACCGCTATTTATTTAGTTATAACTTCTCTATTGTCCTTAGCACTAGCTCCTCAGTTTAACTTGAAAACTAATTCCACTTTCCTATACAGTTGGCTGTAAATGGGGCCTTATATTACATGCCTGGGTATCCCTGGTAAGCCATTTGCGGTGCGTAGCCTGGCTGCGCGTAAGCTTGGGGAGGTACATACTGTTGGGGTGGAATACCTGTAACACATATTACAACATACATTAAACAAAACAAATCGTCAATATACCGACGAAATACTACTTATACTTTCTCAATTATTAATTAATTGTTACACCTTTCGATTTTACATCTTGGAATATAAAGACTTACCCATGCCAGGGCCAGCCGTTAGCATAAGTTGGGGTTCTGGTATCATCATTGGCTTGTTCGTTTCTTCAGCAGCCTCACTTTGTCGTTGGGCGTCGGATTGTTCTAGCTTTTCTACTTTTGTCGTCAGTTCTCTAGTTACTTGAATAAGGAAAGGCATCGCAAAGTCCATAATGTTGTGTTTCCATGCTAGTTCAAGGATAACATCGGGTCGTAACAGGTCGTAGCACTAGAAGATCCAGAAAAAGAAATTACAAATCTATCCACAAAAATTAACAGTCTTTTTTATATGTTCTCGAAGTTTGTTATTAGTTCCCTCAAGAAAGATAACGACTTTTATATAACACGTTCAGTAGTTCAAATGTACTTTGTGTCTAGATGGTATAGCCATAACAGATAGAGAAAGATACATGCCCAGAAGTACAAATATAATAAATCAGCGAAACAATGAAACTCCAACAAAAAAATATGAGTAGTTCAAATGTACCTTATATCCGTACAGTGGAACCTCCATATCATCTAGTATATTCTAGCTCGATGTTCCATATATAAAGATATTTTTTTTAATGGCATAGACATTAGTCATTCAGCCAGTTGCAATAGATTCTCTAATCAGACAAATGCACAACCCTATCCCTGATAGAAAACTAACTGATAATAGAAGTATATATGACATATATGATAAGGTGTTATAATATTTAGATTTCGTCTGACAAGAAATCTATAATATTATATTATTTGTTGTGAGCCTGTAGCCAGTAGCGACTGGATATTGAATGGTGCATATTTATTACATTGGATTAATTTTTTGTAGAGAGAGTTTGAATGCTGTTTGAACTTAGGACATTCACAAAAGATGTGATCAAGATCACCCAGTTTTTTTTTTTCAACCGATAGCTTTGAACCGATAGCTTTTTTTTTTTTTAAATCGTAATTACATCTGATACACATAAAGAATATGACAATAAAGTGCCTGATATTATATTGGTTTTAGCTAAGTAATCTACATATTCATTATCTTTGAGTCCAATATGTGCCTTAACCCAAATAAATTTTATATTAAAGCCAGAGTCTGTCAGGTGCTTTAATTGATGCTTTATTAAAAAAATATAAGGATTACTAAATGTTTTGGGCAAAAAAGTGTTTTATATGTTCTGTAGAACTGAAAGACAGTCTGAAAGAATGAACGATTTTTTAATATAAGAGTTTTTAACATATTGTTTGTTTGTACTTAAATTCAGAACCACCTGAGGGTAGAAAATAGGCACAGCCAGTCCCTTCTTTAATTTAGATGCGCCTGTGTGAGATCTACCCATATACAACCACTACATGTTGAAGCTTATGAGCCTCCTCTTGCGATTACAAGAAATTTATTAAGCGAAAAATGGGTACTCAAAGACCACTCAACAAATCACAAATTATTTTCCAGTATACGTCAACTTAACGAATAAGATCTCTCACAAATATTGGATTAAAACGCCATGTCCACCTTTGTGCACTGCTTTACAAAACAATTCTATTTTTTCAAAGAATTTGGCCAAAATGGACAAAAATTTAAACTTCTTTGCTCTCTTCCATAAAACTGAAGTTACAACACCCACAAACAACAAAATAAGCAACAATATTCTGAGATCTGTTTTTGAACTTTTATAGCGATCCCACAGTTATATACACATACACATAGAGAAAGATACATGACCAGTAGTTTAAATGTATCAAATGATTATAAGCTGGAACGTCAACATGTACAGGAAGATATATGCCGAGTAGATCAAATGTATCACATAGTCAGAAGGTGCACACTCCAAAAGGAGGATTATAAGATTGTAGATATCAAAGGAATTGTTTGGTCTAATAAACCCGATCTAAACAATCTTTTGGTATAACTTACAGCCGTTTTTCAATAAAAATATATGCAAATTTATCCACAATTTTGTGTGACACGTTCTACATTTCAGATATATGCCAAGTAGGTCAAATGTACTCCAGACACATATTGCGGATCCTGAGGAGGATAGTAGATATCACAGCAGTCGTTTGACCTACTAGACCTTTCTAGGCTGCGATTTTGTCACAAATGGTTATGACAGGATAGGTCAAATATATCACATGCGAGATGGACACATGGGTAGTAGTTCAAATATATTCAGGTAGCGTGACACTCTTAAATTCTTAATTGTATAGTTTATGTTGTGAAATATTTCTTCAATAGGTGTTCAACGGTTTCATGTATTATGTTTTTTTCAAAGATATCAAACTTTGAATTGTAGATTGCTCGTTTTCTGCATTTAAAAAATAAAAAAGGAACACAACTTCTTCTTTTATACTTAGAACTATTTGTAAACTACATTAATTCCGCTTTCTTTTATGTATAAATAACAAAAATTTACTTACGTGATACAAACATGCCGAAAAACAATCATAGGCCTGCCTATCCAAGAACCAGGCTAGCAACTCCTCGGCCAATTCTTGATTTCTAGATTCAGAAGTGTACTCCATTGCGTCTCTAAACAATCTATCCTTTTTGCACAGTTCGACGCTCTGCTTCCACCGGTTGTTTCCTTTGTATAAGTAGGCGGCGATGCGTCTGAATTCGGTCAGTTCGTGTTTCTCTAATTTCTGCGCCAAACCGATATTGTCGAAGTTATCGAAGGCATCGATGGACGTTCTCAGACCCTGTAAAATTAATTACACAAAAATTACATCACCTTTACACAGTGGTTCAATAAGGACAGATTGAATCAGTATTTACTTTTACATTGATATCGTCTAATACTTTGCAACAGTTCATTTTTTATTGTCCTACCTTTAGGTTTTATAATATTGCTTAAATTTTCTTGAGACCAAAAACAATAGTCTATACTGACCATAACAGAAAGGACACTTGAGTGTTTCTTTTGTTTGTTAGTTAAATATTCTCTGATCTATTTAAACCTTTTTTGAACTGATTGATTTATGAAACATTTCCAACTTTTCACACATTTTATAATCAGTTTTTTGATTTATTCATTTCAGGATAGATACTGTACAGTATCTACATTTTGTGAATTATGAGAGAATCTCGCTCATAGAAAATATTCTAAACAGTAGTTTATGTAAATGCATAACGCAATTAGAGGTGGAGCATGAAACTTTGGCGTTACTTTCTAATGCTAATAATTTACAATTAATAAAATCATATAAACATACCTGGAAGTCTTCTTCTTCAATAAGTAGAGAGTTAAGGGCCTCGTTGATAGCTTTGTTGTTCAAATTTTGCACAGACCGGAGATAGGATTTAACCAACTGTAAGTGCCCTGTTTTTGTGAAGAAAGAAACAGCCCTAAAAAGCAACATTCATGTTACGCATTTATTGTTACCTCACCAAATAGCGATATTTACTAACAGCTACCTACACGTTCCTAAAATCACCAATACACATTCTTAAAGTGATAAAAAAATAGTGTACCTAGTATGATCCATTCTGGGTGCCAAAACCAACAAAAGGTCATTTAACAACAGGGGTTTGTAGTCCAAATAAAATTGAATAGCTCTATAATAAAGTTCGATATTGGCCACTTTTGTAATAATATCCTTGAAATGACCTTCGCGCCAGGCCTCGGTAGGGTGGGCCATCATAGCCAATACTGCATTATCGTATTCTTCGTATTTGTCATACAAGAACACTAGCTCAGCCCACAAATGTGCCTACAAAATAATATAAGAAATTAGCATTATATAAACGATTGTACTGTCGTTATCTTAGAAGGATAGAGGAATGGTCTGGAAATGAAAGCAAATGAGGAGAGCTGCGAATATAGACAAAGTGAAAACAGAATTAAAGGTTAATAAGAGCAGGGGGGAAGAATGAAAAATCAAAGAGGAAGGGCAAAGAAAACAGAGGAATGAAAGATCAAGGAGGTAAGATACACAAATAGATAGTGGAGAAAGAAAATGAAGACATCAAGAAGGGAGTACAAGTAGTGTACATCAAAGGGAAGCTATGAAGAATTTCCAGTTTCGAACATGTTCCAAGTGATTTGTTTAATGTTTTTTCATATTGTTGTAACTTCTAGTCAGCATCTTTAGGAAAGTTAAGAACACGATATACAGACTGTTGCATATCCTCAATTTAAGTTTTAATTTTTCACAGACGATAGTTCATTGAAAGAAGGAAACTGTACCCAGTAGTTCAAATGTACCACGTATACAGAAAGAAAAGCAGCACATATTTATGTGCCAGGTAGTTCAAATGTACTTAAGAATGAAAAAGAAAGTGCGAGTGAAAGGAGGTAAATTTGGGAGAGCAAGTAATATCGGAGAAGTCTGAACAAAATGAATATTTGAGAAAAAGAGAAGCTATGTGTGGTGTACCCCACGTCTTTCCATAACCGGGAAGAAAGAATTGTAGAGTGTTATGAAAACAATATATGTGCAGATCTACATATATTATGTATATTTTCAGTTTCGACATGTTACTCAGATTTTTCAAGAAAGTTAACGAAAGGATAGAGAGACTTATATATCCTCAATTAACTTTTATTTTTCTCTATTAATAGTATAGTAATTAACAAGTAATGGAACAACAGACCCAGTAGTTTAAATGAACCACGTATCCAGACGAAGGAACCTGAATATGTAGAAGATAATTAATGCCAAATAGTTCAAATGTACCACACGCCCATATCTGGGAACGGAAAAGGAAACTAAGAATAATTATAAAATGTTGTAGAGAAGCTATGGAATAAGTTTTTTTTTACAGAATTTCCATTTTAGACAATGTTGGAAGCGATATGTTCCAATATTCTTTCATATTTTTGTGACTTTTATAATCGGCTTCTTCAAGAAACTTAACGAAACGATGATCAGAGTGTTATAGGCAAGTAGAAGGGGGTAAAATGAGGAAGAGCATGTAGTATACAAGATGGCTGTTGATAAACCAACATAAAGAAGTTTTAGAAGACTTTGTAGGGTACTATGTAACAAATTTTTTCCAAACTTTCCAAATTCGGCCATGTTCAAGTGAGGTTTAATATATTTTCATATATTTTTTACTTTTATAATCAGTTTTTTCCAAGAAAGTTAATGATAGTATGGGCAGACTATTATATATCCCTAATTAAAAATGTACCACGTATAAAGACTCATGAACCTCGACATATAGAGGACGATAAATGCCTAGTAGTTCAAATGTACCAAGTATTCAGGAGTAGATTCCTTAAAGTGATAAAAAAGTAATTAAGACAAAAACCGTTTACATTGGTCACCATCAAACTCTTTTATTTCTGGTTAAAAAAGTGACTTAAAGGGCATACTAATGTAAGAAAAAGTTTAAATAGATTAATTGTCTACAGTCAATATACACATTAATAAAAACCATCTTACTTGTTCAGCTGCCCTAAGAACTTTGGGGATATTCACTCGAGACCAGAAGAGTTCTAGATGTTCGCGCATTTTGGCGGGCTTGTATTTGGAATACAAAATTGCTAATTCGGTGAACATACCCATGTGTGCTCTTTCCAAGCCCAATGCTGCTTCCAATAGGCCGATTAATTCTTCAAAGTATCCTAAAAGAGGCATTTTACTTTTTCATTAACAATAATATAAATCCTATTAACGGCGCCAATTATAAATAAAACTTTAAACCATACCAAAGTTAATTCTAATAAGCAATTATCAAGTTATATGGAAATTACACGTAATTAAATTAATTTTGTTAAAAAAGATCAAAAGTTGTAGTGATAGACGCCTGTTACTACAATCGAAAGACAAAGAAGTAAAACTTACCTCTATCCTGGTAATAATTAATCAAGTCTTGCAACTCATCAGCGTGTACGACGATGTGCATACCACACATCTGAGCCAATCTGAATTCTTCGGCATCGACGCAAGCAAAACACACTTCCTTCCATGTTCTTGTACTATTAGCCTTCCTAGCACTGTCAACAGCTCCCTGGAATTCCTTTAGATGAACTAAAGTAATAGCGAGACGAGCGAAGTTTGATACATTGTTATAGAGTAGCTTGGCAGCATCATACATCTTGTCATCAAAGCACCTGTGGAAGATTAAAAGGTTCAGTAAATTCTGTACATAAAAATTTACTTTAATGCTGAAGGTATAAATTTTAATACATACCTATCACCAATCTTCTGGATATCGGCATGGTTGGGTCCGCTGATGAATTCTTCTAGATCAGCCAATCTTCCGGTCTTGGCGTACGAATAAATCAATTCGGATTCGATGTAGCTCTCTCTTGCCTTCTTTCTTGCCATCTGCAAATACCGCACCAAGTCCTCCCAACTATTATTTTTCGAAGCGGTTTCCACGACATCTTTGTAAGCCGAAGGATCGTCAGCTTTAATGTAAGAATCGATTGCTTCTTTGACTAAGCCTTGGTTCAGTTGAGCTTTGGCCAGCTGACTCCATACGGCTGGTTCATTGCAACGTTCTACAATAAGAAAAATTTGAAATGAATGCTGATGGTCCGTAAACTCTTAAAAACGTATGTTTATCCTTGTAATCACCTTTAAACCGCCATCCAGTAAGTTGTTACTTACAATTAATGTAATTTACCGACACAATTTTAAATGCAACTGTACGAGCCAACGGGCCACGTAGTGTAGACATGTATTGGTATGGTTTCATGTTAGAGAAACATGACAGGTCAATAGTTCAAATGTACCTCGTATACAGACGGGTCTCAACGTTGGGAATCTCAACATATTGAGAATATTACATGCCAAGAAGATAAAATGTTCCACATGCCCAGGAATGAAGAAGCAAAGATAGTTTAAACGGAAGAAAATGAGGGAGAGAAAGTAGTATGCAAAATGGATTTTGATTGATCAACATGAAAAATTTTTAGGAAATTTTATAGGGTACTATGAATGAAGAAAGAATGTGAAGTCATAAAAACTGTTAAAATTAGAAAGATTCAATATCTGGGACATTTAATGAGGGGTGAGAAGTACGTATTACTGAGGTTGATTATGCAAGGGAAGATACAAGGGAAGAGAAACCCAGGACGACGCAAAATGTCCTGGCTAAGAAATTTGAGAGAGTGGTTCGGCTGCAGCTCATTAGAATTATTCAGAAATGCGGCCAACAAAGTTAAAATAGCGATGATGATTTCCAACCTCCGCTAGGAGAAGGAACCCGAAGAAGAAGAATAGGGTACTATGGGGCGATTCTCATAATTTCTTTTACTTTTATCATCAAATTCTTCAAGAAAGTTAACGATAGGATATGTGGACTGTTATATCTCTAACTAAAATTTTTATTGTTTCCAGGCTGTAAGCACAATAGGTAGTGGAACAACAGATCCAGTAGTTCAAGTGTACCACGCATAAAGCCTGAGGAACTCGACATATAGAGGATAAATGTCAAGTAGTTCAAAGGTATCAAGTGTCTAGGAATATGAAAGGATGGACCAGCACAAGGTAATAGTAAGAAGAAATACTCAATATGGCTGACCAAATGACCAAAACAAAGATTAAGGAAACTTTTTAAGAAGCCATGGAAGTAGTTTTTATACTATTTTCAGTTTTAACCATGTTATAAGTGATTTGTTTCATATTTTTGTGATTTTTATAATCAGCTTCTTCAAGAAACAACAATAGGATGGTTGGAGACTGTTATATATTCTCTTACCAGACGATAGTAAATCAACAGGTAAAGGAAAAAGTCCCAGTAGTTCAAAAGTACCATGTATCCAAAGAAGAAACCTCAACATATAGAGGATGATGCACACAAAGTAGTTCAAATGTACCACATACCCAGGAATGGAAAATAGAAGGCCAGTCAAATTGAGGAAAATGAGGCGAAAAAGCAGTACTCAAAATGATTAATGATAGATCAATATGAATTAAGTTTACGGTTACAGGTAAATGTTTCCAGAATTCTCAGTGTCAATCATGTTACCACTGATTTGTTTGAGGCTTGGAATGATATAGCGTTCTTTTGTTCTGGCCAATTATTCGACAACCCACCATTATATCCTAATCTAACCTATATTGTCGCTTTAAAATTGCTCCCAATACAAAGAAAAATAAATTTTACCTGCGAATTCATAAGCACGATCTAGATTGTTGACTTGTTCGATCAATACTTGAATAGCTGAGGTGTTGACATCAAACTTCTTGAAAATAGCAAAAGCTTCTTCATAGAGATGGTTGTTGATGGCTATATTCGCGATATCAGGGGCGTCGTAGTTGTCCAAGCGGTTGATGTAGTCCATAACTCTGGTAGCATCGGCTTTGATCGCTATAAAAAGAGAAAATTAGTAAAAATTATAATTCATAATGAAATCTGAATCTAAGAGCTCTACTAATATAACATATTAACACTATTTTGTAAAATGTTCACTTACCTGTAAGGATAAGCAAGTTTTGAAGGTTTCTATGCTCGGAGAATACAGAATTATCTAACACAATCTTTTCGAGCAATTCAATGAGTTCATTTGGTAAATCAGCTGTCATGAATGCTTTAACAGTGACGGAAATATCTTCAGGGTCTTGAGTTTCACTTAAAGCTGTTTGCACTACTTGATCTATCAATTGGCGTCTAAAAAACGAAGGAGATACATTTATATACCAAAAAATCAGACCAGCTGTGGAATATGACTCCACAAAATAAACAGAAAGCTTAAAGATCTCAAAATAATCAAAGTTTCCTAATATTTTTTTGGTTTCTCCAAAATTCTGTTTATTTTTTTCAATATTTTCAAGATGCCCTAGCTTTTTCCACCTACTTTTAAATAAGACAACACCGCTTTTAAAACTCTCCATTGTGTGGATCTATTCAAAGGAGTAAATAGTTAAAAATTGAGTAATTGGCGCTTCAAATGCGAAATAGATACATTTGAGAGACATAAAAACGGTCCAACTCAAGAAGATGACACCACAAAGGAAGTAGAAAGCTTTGTTGGAGTTTCTCTGTTCTTCCAATAATGTTACATTTTCTTCAACATTTTCAGCACGCCCTGAATTCTTCTTACTACTTTTTGAGATGATAATACTGCTTTTAAATAATCATCAATATAGAAAAATCAATTAAATGACAAAGATCTCGGCAAATTAAAAAAAAAAACGTTTTTAGTTATTTAGCAAATACAACGTTGGCAATTATATTCAAAATTTAACCATTTTTATATGCTAATATACTGACTGAAGGTATCTATTTCTTTTTAAAAAGTTTTAGTGTTGTATATTTACCTGTAAGGATTGCTCTCGTTCAAAACTTCAGCCCATAATTCTCCGTCACGTCTACGGACTAGATAACGCGCTTCAGACTTGAATAGAGAATTTTCGTTGCATACAGCTATCAATTCTCTGTCGCATTGGCCTCGTTCGTAAGCAACACAAGCCAAATGTGGATCGCGCTTTTCGCAATAACGTCCGACAACTCGGGAATCGTACCTGAAAAATAATGATTTCGTTATCTTTACCATTTATTAAAAACAAACTGCCATCTTCGTAGCCATACGAAGTGTAAAACTACCAAATAATGTTAAAAAAGAACTTAAAATGATACAAAACCCAAAATGTTTTTACAGTGTTGCCACCTTGTGAAATATTTCATGATTCTTGTTCAATAAATACTGCTATAATAACTGCTCATATTTTTAATTAGAGAAGACTCACCATTGATTTTCCTTTAAAAATCTTTCGGCATTGTTGTTGGAATCGATGTAGATCTTAGCCAAAGCATTGTGTGTGGCTGGTTCGACACAACCTTCGTGTACTCTGCTTTCTAACCAGGGCAACAACAGTTTTAATCTGTTCCTCTTTTCTACTTCTTCTACTAATTCGTCAGTGGAGAATTGGCCTCTGACTACGAGAATTAGGTTTTTGATTATGTCTTCGGAACAGTCGACATCTAAAAGACCTCCTACTACAACCTGAAAAGGTAAATATTTATTATAAAATTGAGCCAGACAATACGAGACATTTGAACTACTCGTTGTTATATTTTATGGATTTCTGTTTAGTTTTGTTAGTTAAAACAATTTTGGAAGTACCTCGTCACATATGAGTGGTATTAAAAGTACCTACAGACGTGGAGTGATTCTGAAAGTACCTACACACATAAAATGATTCTGAGAGCAGCTCGAATCATAAAAATGTGTCTGGATATAATTAAAGACATAATAGTGATCCATAGAATACATCTCAATTAGTAGAATAGTAGAGTACAACTCAATTCGAAAAATACTTACAGGGTTTGGACTGATTTTGGAAGTATCTATATGCATTATTGATATGAAAAGAGCATAGAGGCGTAAAATGGCTTCTGGAAATATCTAGAGACGTAAGAGTGATTCTGGAAGTAGCTTGAGACGTAAAAATGATTCTAGACATGACTAGAGACATACCTAAAGACATACAGTGATTTAGGATATAACTCGAGATGTACGATTTATTTTAAAATTATCTATAGACTTTAAAGTGATTTTGAGGGAAGCTAGAGAACACCTAAGGATTTAGGAGTGATTTGGGAAATGTTTACAATGATATGACTCATTTTGAAAATACCTAGTGACGAATGAGTGATTTTGGGAAATACCTAGTGGTATAAAAGTACTTCTAAAGTAACTGTAGACATATTTGTGTTGTAGGAGGTATCTAGAGACAAATAAGTCATGAATCCGCCAAAAAATATGCACGTATCCAACTAGGAGAGTGCATATTTATTACCTACACTAAAAATTTAACTGTTAAGTGGCCATACAACCAATACACTGACTCATAAATTAATTCCTAAATAAAAAAATAGTTTTTATTACTTAATCGAAACATTTTCGCTGGTAGTCGTATACTTACGGAAATAAATATAACAATTAACACCACTTACCGGTAAACGGCTGGGATTGACTTTCTGCACATAAATCTCGATATATTTCTGCAGCGAGTTTCTATATAAATACAACACTAAGTCGTGGACGAAATCAAATCTGTCACAGACAATAATCAACGGCAACTGATCTGTAAGTTTGGCTTCTTTCAGGAAGTTCTTGACTCTTTCGGCATTGTAGCAGTTTGATTCCCTACAAATACGCTCGACTTCCTTGATCTGGCCAGTTTTGCATGCGGCTTGAATGTACTTGAAGTGCACTTCTTGGTCTTGGGAGAAGTTGACGATGGAGCCGAGGAAATAGAACAAACCTGAAATTTGTTCCGTAAATTTATCATATTTTGATATGCCACAACGTTACTTACCCTCATAGCTCTTGAACCCTTCAAACAAATCGATCAAAGCCTTAGTAGTGAGTTGTTCGTGGTACTTAGTAGCGATCTGCACACAAATCTGTAAATTCTGCCGAATATTAGCCGTCAGCATGGCTCTCAAGCACTCCAAACTGTCTTCCACGCTGAGAGTTCCGAAGAAGTTAACCAACCAATCAGCTGGAAGCAAGTGGGTGTGGACCACAGCGCGTTTGATATCATACAAATCAGTATAGTGTTCCAAAGCTCTTTGTAAAAGACCAGCTTTTTCGCAGAGCTGGGCTACGTGAGGCCGGTCATAGTGAGTGAACATGTTGTTGCCGAGAATGGCGTCTGCCACTTGCGGTGCAGACATCAGGTTCATTTCTAACAGTCTGGTAAACAAAAATAAAAATCAAGTATACATCAAAGAAACATTTGTGTATTTTTCAAGCACTAAAAATTCAATGAATCCGACTCAAAAGACCAATATGTACAGTTGCGGTCACGGAATAGTTTACACCTTACTTTTTATATTGTAATACTGTAAAATTGCAGTGTCGTACGGATTTGATAAATGTCAAAGTCAAAAAATTTCAAAACGTCAATGCTTTCGCGAGTGTTCAACAATAAAATAAAAGTATATTAAACAAAAAGCAAGAGCAATTGCCAAACTCGAAGAAGGTTGGTCACTAAGGCAAGTTGCTGCTGATTTGAACGTGAGTCATATGTGCATATGGAAGATTAAACAAAGATGGGATAATTTTCACTCTATAGCACGGTTGGGCGGTTCAGGAGGGCAGAAGATTTCCACAGAAATTTTGACTATGAATCTGCAATCTATAATAATTAAAATTCAGTCGATTTTAACAATCAACACAAACAAGTCTGGCTAATTGGCTCCGCCAAAGCCATTTTTCAGAAAAAAAAAAAAAAAAAAAAAAAACAGGATGAGATGTTAGTAGATTATTTGAGAGAATCTCCTTTTGCCACAGCTCAAAAGGCAAGAGAAGTGACAGCGTTTCCATTCAGTATTCGCACTGCACGTCGAAGAATTAAAGCAAGTGGACTGCTAAATTGTGTAGCTGCACGGAAACCTTTTTTGACTGAGGATCACAAGAGGAGACGAGTTGAATTTTGTAATGAATTTATAAACCGCGATGAGAATTTTTGGTCTAGGGTTGTATTTTCCGATGAAAAAGTATTTCAGTCGTATAATAATGGTCGAATAAGAGTTTATAGGCCGAGAAATCATAGGTATGATGAACAGTATACGCATCATTTAAGAAATAGTGGAGGATTCTCTGTCAACGTATGGGGATGGATAAGTGCCGAAGGCCCGGGCGTTTGTTATCATGTAGGGGAGAAGTTAACAGGATTATATTACAAACATATTATTGAGCACACAATGTTGCCATCGGTGATCCAGAGATTCCCCAACAACGACTTTATCTTCCAACATGACAATTGCCCGGTGCATACGAGTAGAATTGTTCGAGAATGGCTAGAAGAAACTGATGTTAATGTTCTTCCGTGGCCTTCCCGTAGTGCAGACTTTAACCCCGTCGAAAATGTGTGGGCAGAGTTAACAAAGAAACTAAATGAAAGAAACCTTAGACCACGGAATAGAATTGAATTATGGGAAGCAATTGAGCAGGCATGGGAAGAGCTTGTTAACTATAACATGAGGGGATTGGTGCTATCTATGAACAGAAGACTGCAAAATTGTATTGACAAGAATGGGGCTTCCACCAAATATTAATTATTATTTATCATTGTTTATCGTTATTTAATATAAAATAGATTTAAAATAAAATGCATATTAAAAAAAAAAGACTTCGTTATTTTCGTTATTAAGATCATAATCCATTTTATTCAAAAAACTGTTTTCTATATTTTTCATTTTGTAAAATATTTTGATATTTTAATTTTAATCTACCTATTCTAGCTAGTACACCACTGGCAACGTCACTTTGACGTAAAAGGTGCGTTTAAACGAAGTAAAAATTTAAAAAATGGGCTCCTAGATACGTGAACCTGTAAACTATTCCGTGACCGCAACTGTACCTACAAACCTTCTGAGAAAACTGCTCATTTTCAGTCATTGGCTTCTTCTTCGATGCTGATGTTTTTAGGCCCCTTTTTCAAAATATTTATAGGCATATGAGTGTCTTAAAGTACGCAGTGACGTGCGAGTGATTTTAGAAAGACCAGAGCCAGGATAATAATTTTGGAAGTACCTAGACGCATACCCACTCATTTTGAAAATACTTTTGACTGATTTGAAAAGTAACTAGAGGCTTATGACCCATTTTGAAATTAACTAGATATAAGCGTGATTTTGAAAGTACTATCTCAGAGCACTGAAACTGATTTATTTATATACCTTGACCGAAGAGATATCTGTTTGTGTGGTTTTGAAAACACTTGGGAGGCTTAAGAGTCATTTTATAAGCGTCTATACTACGTTCCACGTTTAGAAAATAACATTGCGGAGATAGGGCCATGTATTCTTATGGACGATAGCAACGCGGCGTTGCCACGACATACACAAGCACAATTTAGGGTTGTATAATTTGTATTTTTGTTTCCACAAACATGAATTAAATTAATGTTTTTTAACGTAATTGACCAAAAGTGCCCATTCGAAACAAGAGATGAAAAGTAGGGAAAATGATTTTAATTAGATAAATAGTATTTACAAAAGATAATTTTATTTTATCTTATTTTAATTATAGTAACGACAGTTTATTTGTTTTTCGGTGAGAATACGATATGCCATGAATCATAGAAATCAGTAGAAAATATTGACCGCTTGGAATGCGTATATCTAATTACTAATTGCAACTTAAAATAATACGATGTGCGTATGTCAACTATTTTATGTCGTTCTCTGACTACATAATGATAATAAGGCTTTTATTTAGTAGTTATTCTGACTTTACAGCTAAATGTTAATTGAAAATGAAAATTCAAAAATTAAGCAAAGGGAATATCTTGGACATCCGTGCAAAAGAGAGTGTCTGAGAGTTTTGGCAACACTGATCTCCATAAGCGTAATGTTATTTTCTTAACTTGAAACAAAGAATAGAGAGATATCACGGATTTTGTAAATACCTACAGACATAAATTGTTTGCAAAGTACCGTAAATGATATGAATAATTCCTTGAGATGAAAATCTGCAAATTATGCTGAATGGTTGTCGTCAGCGTGGCCCTCAAGCACTTTAAACTATTTTCACGTTCAAATTTGACTCGAAGGACCAAAATGAAGAGAACTACGCCGAAAAAACAGTCCTGTTGGGCACTCGTTTTGAAAGTTTCATATTTTGTTATTTAAAATCACATTAGAATTTTAATTTTTTGATTTTGACATTTTCCTATAATTCAATTGGGCTTTGCTTTATCGTTATATTTTCGCCTTCTTCAGTGCATATGCCTGTAGGTCTATTTAGTACTTTTATATTCTAAAAATTCAGTCACTATTTTTTTGGGGTACTTTTCAATATTTTTGAGCCATTCTACCTAGTTTATTACCGATATTTTTCTATAAGTACATGGTTGAAAGCCTTCTAAGAATTCTGAAACATCTTGCTTTAATGTCCAAGCTTCTATCCCGTAAAATAACATTTATTTACAAATAAAATACATCAAACAATTTGTACTGGTTATCACCCTTGTATAAACATTAAAAAAAATTTTTTGTGTGATAATTAATGGTAATATTATACAGAGGAAATTATTGGCGATTACCAATGCGGCTTTAGGCCTGGAAGATCAACAATCGACCAAACATTTACTATCAGACAAATGCTAGAAAAGTATTGGGAATATAATAAAGAAGTACACCAGATCTTCATAGATTTCAAACAAGCATATGATTCCATAGATCGCTTAAAACTGTGGAGTACAATGATGGAGTTAGGCGTACCAAAGAAGCTGACCATGATTGCGCGAATGTGTGTCAACAATTCCTTTGCACAAATTAGAATAGGAGGCAAAACTTCAAATGCTTTCGGCATAAGCACCGGGCTCAGACAGGGAGACCCGCTGTCTCCATTACTATTTAACCTAGCATTGGAATACGCAATGCGAAAATCTATACCAGAGTCAAACCAGACATAACTGCCAGAGGAGCAAAGATTATTCTCGCATTTGCAGATGATGTAGATGCAGTAGCACAGATAACACTGGAAGTTAAGGATATAGTATCGAACTTTGAAGAAGCAACACTAAGCGTAGGCCTGAAAATAAACGAAGAAAAAACTAAATACATGGTCGTATCAAAAAAGGAGCGAGAGCGAATAAGACAAAACATTACTATAAACGATCATAATTTTGAGGTGGTCAAAGAATTCAAATACCTAGGAGCAACAATTACCAGTGAAAACACAGGAGAACGGGAGGTTGAAATACGAATACTGGCGGGGAATAAATCATTCTTTGCCATTCAACATCTAATGAGGTCAAAGCTTCTCTCAAGGCGTGCCAAAATCCAAATGTACAAAACCATAATACGACCAGCAGTGACATATGGAAGTAAAACATGGACATTGAGAAAGAAAGAAATCAATAAGCTATTAGTATGGGAACGCAAAATCCTGCGAATTATATATGGTCCTTGCAGGGACAGCGTGACAAATGAATGGAGGAGCAGATACAACAATGAAATAGAGACTCTCTTCGGGAAAGGAAACATCGTAAGATACATAAAAGCCAATAGATTAAGATGAGCAGTCCACGTGGTACGGAGTGATGACGACAGACTGATTAGCAATGTGTTTTGGGAAAGACCAGATGGTAAAAGATCGACAGGAAGGCCTAGAAAAAGGTGGAAAGACGCTGTCAGGGAAGACCTGGAGAAGATGGAAGTAAAGCCATGGGAAATAATAGCACAGGATCGGAATCAATGGAAGGCAATAGTAAACGCGGCAAAAACTCACGAAGAGTTGTAAAAGCCAATGATGATGATGATGATAATAATTAATGAGAGACGTACCTGGTTTGTAGATGCCCCTCAGTAGGCCTGTTATTCTTTAAGGCGTCCAACAAGAACGCAGTACACTGTTGCACCATGTTTTGTTCCATAAAAATGTCCACTATTTGGTTGATGTCGGCCAAAGGTTCGTCGTCTGCTACCAACATCCCGGCGAAGGCGGCGCCTTGGTCGGGATTGGTGCGCATGACTTGGCGAAGCAAGAATATATAGTCGGGAGTATAAGACACTTTTTTGGCGTACAGGACTATCTTTTGGAATTGGCCTGTTTCAGCAAAGCTTTGGATAACCTGAAACAAAATAGAAATATTTCTGCCCGCGCTAATATTTGTCTAATTTGTACTTACTTTTGCAGGTACATTAGCTCTAAGATACACAGATAAAGCCAGAGTAGGGTCCGCCTGTTTGACTAGGTCTCCTAATTCTTCGGAACATTCTAATTTTTCTTCTTTTAACCATTTTTCTAGCAGCTGTTTGCGACCTTGCAACAAGACTGGTTTACATAGTTCCAAAGATTCGTATCTGCAAAAGTTATATATATATATATATGATACAGCATGAAATAACACGATTACACAAAAGAAACAATACTTTATTGGCGTTTTCTAGATGCTATACTAAAAATATTGTAAACCATTACCTGTTTAGTTGTCCTTGGTCTAGAAGTATACCGAAATACTGTAAAAGAGGACTGTTTTGTCCAGGTTGAGTCGGGACTTGTTGAAACATTTGAATTGTAGCTGGAGTTCTTAATATTCCTGAAAGATATTTACCATTTTTAAGTTTTTATTAATTATGGCAAATATTTGCATTTTAAAAACTTTATAACTAATTTTGACATAATTTTTTATAAAGCTTTTAACTCATTTTGGCAAACGTCTCACGTTCTAAAAAGCGCTTTAACACATTTATACAAAAGTTTGACATTTTAAAAAGCTTTTAGCTCATTTTGGCAAAAGTTAAACGTTTTAAAAAGCTTATTAGTTCCTTTTAATAAAATTTTGACGTTTTGAAAAGCTTCTTGAACAGTTTTGGCAAATGATTGACATTTAAAAAGCTTCTTAACTCATTTTGGCAAAATTTAAACATTTTAAAAAGTTTATGAGCCTATTTTGACAAAGTCTTGACGTTTTCAAAAGCTTTTTACCCATTTTGGCAAAAGTTAAACGTTCTAAAAAGCTTGTTACTTTATTTTGATGAAACGTTGACGTTTTAAAAAGCTTAAATAATTTTGGCACACGATTGACCTTTTAAAAAACCTCTTAACTCATTTTTGGCAAATGTTTGACGTTTTAAAAAGTTTATTAGCCTCTTTTGGCAAAATGTTGACGTTTAAAAAGCTTCTGAAGCAATTTTGGCAAAGTTTTGACCTTTTGAGAAGCATTTAAAATACATCTTAACTCATTATAGCAAAATTTTGACGTTTTCAAAAGCTTTTTACCCACTTTTGCTAGAGTTAAACGTTTTAAAAATCCTATTAGCTCATTTTGATTATATTTTGACGTTTTGAAAGAATCTTCGTAAGTCATTTTGACAAAATTTAAAAATTTTAAAAAGTTTATTCCCTTTAAAAAAAAATTGACGTATAAAAAGCTTTTGAAATCATTTTGGCAACATTTTAACGCTTTTTACCCATTTTGGCAAAAATTAAACGTTTTAAAAAGCTTGTTAGTTTATTTTCAAAAAACGTTGACGTTTTAAAAAGCTTAAATAATTTTGGCACACGATTGACCTTTTAAAAAACCTCGTTAACTCTGTTTTGGCAAATGTTTGACGTTTTAAAAAGTTTATTAGCCTATTTTGGCAAAAGGTTGACGTTTAAAAAGCTTCTGAACTGTTTTTTTGAAAAATGTTGACCCTTTAAGAAGTTTCTTATTAATTTTGCAAATTTAAAATGGTTTAGAATTTATTTTAGCAAAAGTTCGACATTTAAAAAGCTTCTTAATTCATTTTAACAAAAGTTAAACGTATTAAAAAGCATTTTAACACCACCTGTAACACTCTTCTATAATTACTATGGAAATTTACACCATAGACATACTAAAAAATACCATTCGCATTAAACTTGAAGTTAAAACAGTTACAAAAAGCTTGTTCTCACCTTTTGGAGCGTTGGCAGCCACTTTGGCAGCTTCCGCGTACTGTCCATTCTGGAACAACATCTGAAATTTACTAACAAACAGTTCTTCGGCTCCTGATAGATTGTTTCTGGTAGCCAGACGCAGCGCTAAGTCTGCATTGTGCAAGACGGTGTTGATGTATCGAATGATGCTCTCCTCGTCTACAGAGACGGATAGAACTTGACCTTTTCTATTTACACCTGAAAAGTTCACAAGTAATATATCGTGTACGAATCGTTAACAAAAATTTAAGCACTTAAGAATTGTGTCGCGATTCATACAGTGTTGTCAAGTATATAAAAATGTCTTCATAACTATAGTAAAAATCCGATGAGGTTTTTACGATAGTTTCAGGTAAAAGAAATACTAATATAGTGATTCTAGATAATATTTTCACTGCATTACTACTGTACAAAGTCTATTTTTACTATATTGAAAAAGTTTTGGATGGAAAAACTGCCATAGTCTCCGGACTTTTAATCCTGCGTGAAAGACTAAAAAGATTAAAAAAAATATTTAACTTTCTTACCAATTATTCCTCCCGTAGCTTCGTGGGGCGCGGTTACGAATATGGTTTCACTGGATATTCTGTTCATATAGATGCAAGTGCCACTCTCAATATCGTACATATGAATGTAGCCGTATTTGGTGATCAGGTAAATGACGTCGTACTTAGCAGATACTTGCATGGCGACAGGAAAATCGTTTTGGGCCTCAGGCGGGAAGAAAACGTCGACTGTCTTTTTGGGGAACGATTGATTGCCTGCTGGACTTTGGCCAACCTGAGAATCAGAAAGGAAATAGTAAGTTCTGGAAAATGCTGGAAATATGAGATGTAATAGTTTACCTCGATAATATGCAATTTTCCTCCCTGTAAAGTTCTCACTGCGAAACAGAAGAGCGTCGAAGGCTCAGGATTTCCTTCCATTTTGAAGGTGGCGAAAGAAGCGGCGTGTCCTTCGATCGGCTGGGAGCATTTTCTTTCTACTGAATACAGTTGCATAGCACCAACGACGCGGGACTGTTGAGCGCTGATACCGACCAGTAGCAGCCAGTTTTGTTTGGGATCTGTACGGTAGTTGATGATTTGGCAGCCGTTAAGAGAAGAGTGTCTGCAATAGTCATACATAAAGTCACACGTGCAAGAATTTAATAATGAAATATTTTACCTGTCGAACATTTTCTGTGGAGTGGAATCACCTTCCATGGACCAATGATACACCGAAGTCTCGGTGACTAGAGCTAACGTATTGGGGCTGATCCATTTCCAGAAAATTACGTCTTCGGACATGGTGTGGGCTTTCATTTTTGACTTCATTTCTATGTTAAATATTTGAAGTGTTTTTTGTGTTTCTACGCCGGCTTTACCTAAATAAAAGTGATATAATACTCGTAGTATAATCAAGTGTCAAATGTCAAACTTCAAATGTCAAATGTTGACATAAATATCAAATATCACGTATCAAATGTTGGTTATACTAACAAATATGGAGACGATGTACTCTTAAGAAGCTTATTAACTCATTTTGGCAAAAGTATTAGGTTTTAAAAAGCTTATTAATTCATCTTGGCAAAAGTTTGACGTTTTAAAAAGCTCAGTAATACATTTTGGCAAAATTTTGACGTTTTAAAAAGCTTTTAATAAATTTTGAGAAAATTTGGACGTTTTAAAAAGCTTATTAACTATGATAATATTAAAAGACAAACATATTATCAGATTTTACGATTTAACAAACAGCCTCATTCTGTATTGCACAGTCCTCATTCTGTATTGCACAGTAATAGTAAACTTTTTGAGGATAGCCGACTTCTAGTTGATCTACATTCAAAAGGATGCGACAACTTCCTAGCAAATGTCGGGGCACTAGATATAACTGCAGGGCCAATAAAAACAGCATAACCGACGATTATTATAATTTATACTGTACCTTTAAGAGCAATGACTTTGGATGCTGGATTCATAATAGCACTTTCGGCGGTGATTGGTCGTCTGATGGGATTGGCCGTGTCGGCCATATCTATGATGACTACTTGGGACGTCTCTCCAACTTTTTCTCTCACGCAGATGTACTTGTCACTCTCCATGGTGAGATTAGCGAACGTGATGTTGGTAGCATGGATACCAACATTGGTAAGCTGCAACAAAAGGTAACTTTGTATTAGAAGATAGTGCAAATACTCCTGACCATGGAGCTGCGTGAAGGCGGAGTCAAAATTCAGTCAACTCCAGAAGGATTCTATTGTAAGTGGAATTAGGCTAACCAAACTGAAACGTTCTACCATTCACGTTGCATAGTACAGTGCGTTTCGCATGGAAGTGGGGACTAAACCAAATTTCGTGTACTGCGCCGTGGTCATGAATGTTTGCACTATCTTTCTAACTACAATGATGATGAGGCTATGGCGCGTCATAAATTCTGATCTAACGATGTGATAATGATTATAATAGACCAAGAAATAACTAAAAAGTATAAAACTATTAATGAGCGCAAACAGTGGATGACTGATGAAATATTGGGACTAATGGAAAGCAGACGAAAAGAGAAAAATAAAACCACTGAAGAATGCAATAAAATCCATAAAGAAATCAGGAAAATCCGGGATGCAAAAGAAAAATGGTACAGCAACAAATGCCTTGAAATAGAACTGCATAAAAATGACACGTTTAATATGTACAAAAAGGTAAAAGAAATAGCTGGAACATGTAGATCAACTGCAAGTGGTTACTTTGATAAACAAGGATATATTATAGTAAATGAACAAGACAGATTAGGGAGGTGGAAAGAATACATTGACGAGCTGTTTGATGACGATAGAACAGTAATTCAAATCGAAAATATATCGAATGGTCCAAACATAACACCCGATGAAATGAAAAGAGCTATAAAGCTATCAAAGAATAGGAAAGCAATCGGTCCAGACGAAAATTCAAACGAAATAATCAAACTACTCGACGATAATCGTAAGCATTCTCTTCTAGGCTTCTTCTATAAAATATACGAAACAGGACATATACCAACAGACTGGCTACTGTTAACATTTTTAATTATACCGAAAAAAATAAATGTCAAACAGTGTAGCGATCGTCGCACTATCAGTTTGATGAGTCATGTACTGAAAACTTTCCTAAGAATACTGCACTCGAGAATTTACAACAAAATAGAAGTACAACTAAATGAATCGAAAATTATTTGAGGAATATGCCAAATGGGGGCTTACTGTAAACATAAGCAAAACAGAATATTTAAAAATTGGAAGAAATACCACAGATCTGAGGCTTGAAAACGCAGTCATAAAAGGCTGCAACCAGTATAAATATCTAGGAAGCATCATATCAGCAGATGGCAGAGTTAAGATAGATGTACAAAACCGAATAACCCAAGGGAAAAAATGCATCCGAATACTGAATTCATTACTGTGGTCTAATAAAATAAAGATGCATACCAAACTTCGCGTATACAGAGCAATTGTAGAACCAATTACCACATATGGTGCCGAATGTTGGACGATGACAAAGAGTGAACGAGATAAAGTAGACGTTGTGGAAATGGATTATCTTAGAAGGTCATGTCGAGTATCGAGAATGGAAAGAATCAGGAATGAGGAAATACGAAACCGTACAGGAATTACAGGATACTCTTTCACATAGAATACAAGGAAGGCAATTACAATGGTATGGTCACGTGATGAGCATGGAGGAGGAGCGGTGGCCAAAGAAAGCCTTAATGTATGTTCCACCAGAAAGAAGGAAAAGGGGAAGACCACCAAATTCCTGGAGAAGAGAAATTACAAAAACAATGCAATCTAGAGGTTTAGAAGAGGGAGATTGGGGAGATAGGAAAAGATGGAGGCTGAAATGCGGGAAGCGGCAATCGCCGTAGGACCCCGTTGTATGATGATGATGATGATAGAAGTACAACTAAGTGAAACACAATTTGGTTTTAGAAACAACCTTGGAACCAGAAAAGCACTCTTCAGTTTGCAGGCCATGGTTCAAAGATGTAAAGATATCGAACAATCAGTATATATGTGTTTTATCGACTTCGAAAAGGCCTTTGATCGAGTAAACCAAACATACTAACTGGACATAACATGACGAAAGCAATGTAAATACGACATGGAGTGAGGCAAGGGTGTATTCTATCGCCTCTACTTTTTAATATCTACTCCGAATTTATTTTCAAACAAGCTTTAGTTGAAGATTAAAACCAACGGAATCAATGTCAACAATCTTAGATATGCAGATGGCACGGTACTTATTGCCTCCAATGAAGAAGTTCTGCAACGGCTTATAAACAGGGTAACCGAAGCATGTGATGAATATGGGCATAAAACTTAATACTTCCAACTAAACTTATGGTTGTTAGCAAAACGGAGTTACAACCAACGAACATCAGAGTGTATGGAATAGAGTTAGAAAGAGTTCATAATATTACCTATTTGGGCGCAAATGTTAACGATATCTGGGATATAAATAAAGAAATACGAATACGCATTGAAAATTCCGGCTAAATATTTTCCACATTGCTGTATGGTATGGAGAGCTGGACCCTTACAAAGGCATTAATGAAAAAATTGGAGGTCTTTGAGATGTGGATTTATCGACGAGTATTATTGAAAAGTTGGGTTGATCGAATAAGAAATGAAATAGTTTCACATCGAATGAAAAAGAGCACAGAAATAACAAAAACGATAAAAATTCTCCAAAGTTACAATATTTCGGTCACGTAATGAGACATCCAGAGAGGTATAATCTTCTACATCTCATAATACAGGGTAAGATCGCTGGAAGGAGAGGCCCAGGCCGAAGAAGAACATCCTGGCTCCAAAATCTCCGAGAATGGTATCAAGAGACCACCGCTTATTTTTAGCCGTCGTAAACAAAGTTATTATTGCCAATATGATCGCTAATTTGATTGTAAGAGCAATTGAAGGCAACAGAGGAATGGGACGCAAGAAAATGTCCTGGCTCCGAAACATAAGGCAATGGACAGGGATTAACGACATACAATCTCTGATACATATTGCAAGAAATAGAGAATTAATGGAAAATGTGATCGCTAACATCCATTAGTGGATTTGCATCTGAAGAAGAAGAAGAAGATCGCTAATGTTCGATAATCGCCCATGGTACTGAAAGAAGAATGAAGTGAGTCTTCGGTATAATATAATTGGAGAGCATTTTTAGGAACAAAATAATGAATTATTAAGTTATACTCGTATGATGGAACGACGAATGTAGTGATAACAATGATGATGATATTTAATCCGAAGAAAACGACATTTATTTATGTATGTAATAAATGTATGTGATAAATGACATTTTCCAATTTTTCTACAGTAAAATAAACTTATGGTCTCCGCCACTGAGGCGTGCCCATAAATCTTGCTCATTTGCATTTAATGTTGTTTTCTGTTTTGAGCAGTCCTGTATAAAGACCATTGACAAGACAAAAACAGTGCTATCAAGCATTTCCAAATCGAGTATAGATGTTTATCATAATTTTTATGTTTTTACATATCGTAAATATCACATATATTGATCAATTCTTATGGGGTATTCGGATTTTTTATGAAAAGCAAATATACACCGAACTAATTTCTTACAAAACTTGTTGAAAACAAAACACAGCGCTTGTGTTCGACCACATTTGAATATGAAACGAAGTATTGATTTTCCACTAGAACATATGTACCTTCATAGTAATATTAAATACCAGTCATGACCCCAATTCCTAAAGAGTTTATCATGGAAGAAAGGATTTGTTGGCCGCAGGCCAGTGTGGAAAATATTGCGGCGGAAAATTTGCAATCTCAGCAAGATTCGTCTGCTAAAGTATTTTAACACTTGAATAAATACGTATATATGATATACACATCAGAAAAGGATATTTTGATATATATATAGATTTATTTTTTCTGGTACTATCAACTTATTTACTACACATTTTTATGATTAAATTAAAAAAAATTGTAAAGTATCTCTATTATTCTGAAGCTAGTTTCTTCTGGCATCTTAATCATGAGGTTTTTTCCTGCTTTTCCCTCAAAAAAGGTTCGAAAATGTGCGGTGTGAGTGTTCGCAAAATTTATGACATCCGTGAAGAGGCCCAGCAAGGCAAATTGAAACCGGTACAAAAAAGGAAGAAAAACAGTTTTCAGTCCAATTCACGTGAGAATACTTTCGTTGAAGCAGCGAAATCTCGAATAGGGAAAATTATGCATGTTTTATTTTGGGAAAACATGCCACCAACCGTCGACAGAGTAATGAACAGAGTGAAGGATGATCAGAACCTACCAGCTTTTTCAAAAACTCCATTTCGTAGACTACTAAATGACACGGGTTTTGAATATGGTAAAAGACGTCGAGATTCGATAATGGTGGAAAGAAAAGATGTCATATCCTGGAGACACAAGTACCTCAGACAAATAAAAACATTGAGGAAGAAGGATAATGTAAATATTGTTTATAGCGATGAGTCTTCGAGATGTCGATGCTTCAGTCAAAAAGGAATGGAGGGACACAACGATCAAGAATTCACGAGATGCCTTCATAAAAGGGCTCCCTACTGGACTGAAAGCTCCAACCCAAAGAAGTCCTCGTTTTGTTCTTCAAAGAAAACGTTGTCGTTTTGAATAAGACGTTGTACCACTCCCTCAAATTTGATTTCCCGAAAAAAATGTGGAACAAAAGGCAAATCAGCGATTGGATAATCGAAAAGAACATTTTCTTTGAGGAAAATTTACTGAATACTGCGGTCGCATTTAGAGAAGAGTAAGAAAAATATGGCGTTAAGATTTTGAGACTGCCACCTTACCATTGCGAGTTGAACCCTATTGAGATGGCGTGTAGTAAATGAAAAGGTACCTATGTGGCTTCAAACAACGTCGACTTTAAAGAAAAAACGGTAGAACGGTTGATAAAAGAAGCTTATCAACGGGTATCTAAAGAGCAGTGGCATAATTATGAATCACGTCAAGAAAGTAGAAGAAAACATGTTTGCGGTGGGCAATTTGCAGGAAGACATTGAACCTTTGTTTTCTGCGCTCATTAGTCTTTTGGTGTCACCAAAATGCCGCTATTGCCTCACGTATATATTGTGTAAGATATCCTGACAGGAGACAAAGATTAAGGA